ATTATCCAATTAACCTATCCCCACAAGCTGCATGTCTTTGGACGGTGGGAGGAAGCCAGAGTACCCGGAGGGAACCCACGCAAACACGGGGAGAACATGCAAACAGAAAGACCCCGGCCTGATGGTGGAATTGAACTCAGGACCTTCTTGCTGTGCAGCAACAGTGCTAACCACCGTGCTGCCTCGATCCAGTGTTGTGTCTACAAATATCAGACAACTTAGCAAAGAATGAATTTCAAATAGCATCTTTAGGCACTTTGTTACTAGCAGCCTGTCACAAAAATATATCATTTGTTCAAATTTCTTTAATTTTTTTTTTCTTCTTTTTTTTCTTTTCTTTTTTTTTCTCTTCTTCTTTTTTTTCTTTTCTTTTTTCTTTCTCTCTTTTCTTTTCTCTTTTTCTTTAATTTATTAAATACCAAAGTTAACACAGTTACAGACATAAAATAATATTTTTGCACCAACAAGCTGATTCCCAAAGAGCTTTAGTTGAAAACTTGGCATATCTCAGCATGGTGTGCAGTGTGTCCTTAAAAAATTTGAGGAACTAAACAAGTGGAGGACAAAAGAAAAGATGCATCAGCTCTTAAAACTATCTATAGCAGATCAACAGTATCTGGAAGTTATGTTCTTAAGATACTGGCTTTTTTTTCTGAACAGTAATTTTATTTTTTATTAGGTTCGTCAAAAGCATTCTTGTTAATCAATTAAAGGTTAGTTTTTGAAGCGGATACTGTTACCTGTTGAAATATGTTACAAATTTATGCACAGTGACAAGAAAAAAAAGTGGCTATTTGTGTACATGAACAGCAAAAAATAGTTATTTCTGAACAAACACACCTATACACAACAGTTGTATTGGTATTAATGAGTTAACATGCTTTCCAGGAACTTACAGCAAACTTTTTTTCTTGGTAAATCTTTGGAAAGTTAAAAGTGAAAGAGTAGCTCTGTTTGCATAAACAGTCATTTTTATTATCAGCAAACTTAAAACAACAACTTCTCATCAAATTTCATCATTATTATCCTTTAAATTTGGCTTTGATTTTCTTAAACTATGAAACTTTTAGGTACCATAAACCTCATAAACATTGATATATATATATATCTTTCTTGATTTTGCTCACTTGTTTTCTAAAATATGGTGTGCAACGTTTCTTTTTGGCCTTGCAGTCATGTTGTGAGCTGCTGCTTGTGACAGTACATGAGCGAGGAGGCTGTAGATTGAGAGAATGATTCAAAATTTCACCTTGCCTTTATCACTGACTTTTATCTGGACCTCTGTAGCTTTTCTACAAGATGAATCTGACACAGAAGTTTGTATTTTAACCTCTACTGTATGTCATTTGATTTAGATATCAAACATCACCCAAGTTTGACTTAATTATCATGTCTTTACAGAAACCTATGACACTGGAGATTTTGCCGCTTTGATTGGTGGTGAGAAGTGACTTCTTTTCTTATGATGTTCAACAATGAGTGTGAATCTGCTGAATTTTATTTCAGTTCACATGAATGAAAACGATGTTCTGCTTAATAACTTGTTCTGTACAGATTAATGATTTTCAAATCTTATTTCCAACGACCAAATCATATGTAGTCAGGAATGTGATAAAATAATCATCGACCAATATAATAATACTAATAGCTTTAAATATAAAATGCAAGTTTTAAAGACTAAACTGTAGATGTAGATTTATTTAAATTAGATTATTAAATCTAAGGGATAAATAAGGAAATAGAAGAACATATTTGGAAATGTAATTACCTCTTTAATCTATAATTTTAGTAATTGATTAAATTTGGTTCTAATTTGTTAAAAGAAAAATTTTTACAGGTCTCGTATTCTCCAGAATTTTTTGTTTCAGTTAATGAAGTTTTTACTAATAGTGGGATATAAAATTGAAGTATTCTTTAATGTGTTAAAGTTTCTAAATTTGGATTTTTAAAAGAAGTTTTTATTTTATTAGTTTTTCTTTCTTGTTATAATTGTTACTCCAGCAGAAATGTTCACTAAATGCAAATGTCAGTTAATAATATATATCAGGTTTTTATGTCAGTTCATTACAGATATCAGTTCATGAAATACATGAACTTCGCTTTATAAGTGAAAAGTAAAAATAGAGACACAGCAGACTCCATAGGCAGGATATTGAATTCTATGTTGAATTGCAATGAAAGTGATGCTTTAAATGCATAGTTGGGGGCTCTGTGATGATATTTCCCTCTGTCGTCACAGGAATCGTGAGTGTAGTGCTGTTGTTAATGATCTGCGTCATCGCCGTGCTGATGTGGTGCCTGTCCAGACATAAAGGCGAATACGTGACCAACGAGATGGAGGAGAAAGACGAGGACGCCGACAGCGGTGACGGCGACTCTGTTGGCTCTGATGAAGCGCTCCAATCTGAGGAACCTCTGACAGCCAAAGAGGAGAAATAAAGGGGGGGAAATGGGAAATAGTGACAAAAGTGTCACTCACGTTGCAGACTTGAGAGCTTTGTAGCTTTGTTGCACTCAGCAAACAACAAATATGTGAGAAGGGAAGTTTAACGTTTTTAGAAGTAGCCGATTTTAAAAATTGCACTGAGCACCTTTGCACGTTGGCACCACTAAATGTGAGCAAAGCACGACTGTCTGAAATGTGAGCCCTTCTCAGGAATGTGAACAACCAAAAGAAACTAAGATGTGGTTTGTGTTCGGTAGACCTGTGTTTACATTGTTCCCTCCTTAAAAGCTCCACTTTAATGCAGCGACGCTGCATAAATTGCAAGCAGGCATTTTCATGCTATGACTGACTGTGGTATCCTGAAGCTATGGTGGCCCCAAGGTGCCAAACAGAAAAAAGCAGAAAACACAAGGCTTAAAGTAATGGAAAAAAAAAACAAGATGAGCTCAACTACAATAAAAAAGAGAGGGAAGATGAAACAGAAAGAACAGAAAAAACTGCAAAAAGAACAAAAACAGTTTTAAAAGCAGCAGAAAGCATAAACTAAAAAAACTGAAAAGTTATTCAGTGCATTGTTACACTTATTTCCCTTCAGATTGGCCTTCATTTTTCTCCATGGCTGTGTATTGATCGTGAGTGCGGTCAGATGGCTGCATAAAAGGTTCTTCAGCACATGTCAAAGATGGGGTTATGGTCTGGACTCTGTTGTGACCATGTGCGAAAATGATGCCTCATGCTGCCATTGTCATCTGGTAAGATGCCTGCACCATCAGGGCAGGCAGAACCTGGTCATTCAGCACATTCAGGCAGTCAGCTGGCCTCACCGTTTGAACATAAATCATTGATAAACGTAGACCTGACCAACTGAACTCAACCTCACATCATAAGACTCCCCTCACAGGTCTCTACTGTTGGCACTAGGCATGCTACTTCATCCCAATGATGATTGATATAACCTCAAAATTTCATTTTTAAAGGACATTTGTGATAATGATATTTGTGTCTGAATTACACTTGATCTCAGACAGCAGCATTTATGAGTGCAAACAAAACAAAGGGCATTTTCCTTATTTTCCATTGAGCTACTGTTACTGATGGTTGATTAGTTAATGTGCCAGCACCAAGCTGCAGTGGCATTATAGTCCAATAGTAGCCTTACATACTGTGCCACAACCTTAGTCAGATCTAGGTACAAAAGTAGCCCAGGCAGGGAAATAGCTTAAATAATTAGCTTAACAGTGCTAAAATAACTGAACCTTGTAAATCTTCAGAAGGTGAACAATAAAATAAAATTGAAAAATAATTTCAACCTGGCCTTGCTTAGAAATTTCCATCTGCTTCTTGCTCTTCCAATCTTATAGAGTGGGGCTAGCTCCAGCCATGCTAGCTTGACTTTGTTTCCTTTTGATTGCTAGCATCTGCTCCTCACGTGCCTTCAACCATGTATTTTTTGCCTCAACTTTTCCTCCATATTTTGCAGCGTACTGTATTTTGTTGGTGGTTGTTGAAGTAGCTTTCTTTTTTACTCAGAGCCCTCTCTCACTGTGAGGCGTGCCTGTGTTGTGCCTCTAGTGTGAATATGGCACAGCCCTAGCACCCATCCCTCTGGAGCTAAATATGCGCTCGCCAGATAACATGACCTTTTCCCATTGCTCCTGAGCCCAGTCTGCTTGCTCCCTGTCCTTTTGTTTTCTCAGTTAGCATCACTGATCGGTGGTTTCCTTAAGGCTGTACAGCCTTTTAATGCCAATCCCCTGATTTTCTCTTCACACTGCCTGTGGAAGCGCTCTTAACTTGGTTATTAAACTTTGCCATGAGCTCTATTATCATTTTTTATGATTTGCTTTCACTAAATATTTAAATGATCATTAAAGATTTTTATTTTATTTTTCATGATTTTTATCATTGTCCAGTTTTTGCAGTTTCAGAAATGGCCTTCGTTGTTAAAAAAAAAAAAAGTGTAACATCTTCTCCACATCCCTTCGATACATCCTCCAACATGGTTGTCTAACAAAAGAAAGAAGTTCTCACAGCATCTGTTAGCATTAAATAAGCTTTTGCCAGCAGAAATATATTAATGACTGCAGTAGTAATCCAGTGGAAAGCTCTTAAATCCAGGCAGACTTTTCTTTCTTGGCAGAGCAGTGTACATCTTGTGTTTACCATTTTCTCGCTGTGTTGTGCACCTTGGGGCCAGCATAAAGATTTTCGTACAGAAACAACTCGCTGAGTCCATATTATTAACAATTCACGTGATTGATGAACAAAATAAATAGCAACACATTTAAATAACCTTTATTTTAACGTTGGTAACATTTTTGTTCCTGAGTACTGAGTTGTTTTTCTCAGCGTTTCAAGAATTTGGCCTCAGATCTCACATTCTTCACAAGCTTCTTATTTCTAAAACTTTTACAGCTGTTGCGAGTCTCTATGTTGTCAGGCAGTTTTTGCATCATCCTGCCAAAGAAGCTGAAAGTTCAAATGAGCCTAGCAGATGAAGATAAACATCTACCGGAGTGCTTACTGCTGGTGATTTTCCATTGTGTTTGTTGTCATATTTTGAGGTCAAAGTAATAAACAACTAACTACAGGTTGGAGTCTGACTAACATGTGACAGTTATGAATCAGCAGGGAGGAAAAAATCTTTGTAGATTTCCAGCCCAGAGTGGTGCATTTCTGTCTGTTTTCCCATCATCAAAGCTCCAGTTTTCTGCTCCAGCAGACTTTATTGATTTTATCCTGTTTTAGTAAAATCTCTTTTATTTGCTGATGTTTTTCTAAAAGTACATTAATAAACTTGATACTTTGTGACACTGTCACTTTCTGGTGCGTCAATGTGCTGAAGATAAACCCCCTCTGGTGGCTGAAATGTGAAACTGCACTCCTGACCTTCAGCCCAGCACTTTTTCTTACTTTCTTTTTAAAGATAAAGAAATTACAGACGAAGACCGAGTCAACTCACGCAAAGTGCTGTACTGCAGTACTGTGTTGGGGCTTATGCGTGACTGCAACTTATCAACAGTTTCTTCTAAAAATGTGCTTTTTTCCAAACAAAACATAGGAAACATTTTCTACACATTAACTAAACTGTGTTTATGTTAAACCCAAACCTTAAGGATGCAGTCTTTTCACTGAAGAAATCTACACACGTTATTGATAATAAATAAAAGCTTACATTTAGTTATATTTAAAAGATATAATTTAGAGAAAACAGCGTTTGAGGGCCTGTTCTTTTGGATGAACCTCAGATTAATTTAAAATACAAAATTAAAGATTTTTCATCTGCAACATAAATATCAGTTTAATGATCACCACATGAAGCTAAAAGCTGGTCCAAACGGCGTGACAGTAGCATGGCAAAGATATCCTGCAAGAAGAAATCAGCTCCCTGGTGGCCATGAGGCTCTAAAAGCAGCTTGAGCCCAACAGCCACCGAAGCCTTGATGTGGCAAAGCTGCTGTTTTGTGTCTGACCAGCAGCAGCAGGATGCGTCAGAGTGGAAGAACTTCAGTATGTTTGTTTTTACTTCGATCTGTCGTCCATGATGACTCATGCTTTCGGGTAACAGCCATCAGCTCCATCCAAAGCTTGACTTGGACTCGCTGCAGGAAGGAGCTGAGGGTGTGTGTGTGTGGTCCGGCCGGTTTCACTTTCAGCTCCGATCCACAATGCCAGATTATTGTTGTTATTCCTCTAAGCTGCTGATGGTTTGAATACAAATGTCTGGCCTTCGTTTTTAGATTTGAGTCACCACAGACTTCTGGTAACTTCTGGTAACCGGGTGGACGTTTTGGTGAGTTGAAACATGAGGAAAATAAAATAAACAAAAAACCCAAATCCAAACAAGTTCTTACCACATGTACAGCGAGCTGGTTTCTTTAGGTTTGCAGCATCCTACTTGTAAACAACAGCAATAAAGGTTCATAAATGATCAAAACTACAACAACTCAGAATAAATATCTAAATTTGTAATCATATGATCTGTGATAGACTCACACAGGGTCCAGGGTGACTCTGCCTCCTGCCTCTCAGCTGGGATAATCACATCACTTCACTTAATTTCTTCGGTTTTCTCCTCCAGTAACTCTTTTTTCTCAGCATCACTTGTTCCTGAATCAAACACCTATTAAATATGAAATGTCTAAAACATAATATTTGAGTTTAAATGACTTTAATTCTCGGCTTTTAAAGGCTTGACAGCAAGAAAACTGACAGAAAATGAACCCTTTTGGGGTGTAATGCCAACACTGGCCTGCAGTGTGTGCTGTTGCACTGAAACAGACTCGGAGGGCGCGATCACATTCAAGTCAGTTTAGTTATGATCAATAACACTGAATTTAAAGAAGAGGGGGAAAGCAGAGGGAGAGGGCGGAAGAAAAAGCAAAAGATCAGAGATGAAGAAAGAGATGCGAGCAGTCAAATGAGGGAATTTAAATACAGGAAAAGTAATCTGATCTTATTATCTTTATAGAAACAGGAGTGTGCTCATGTTACACTGTTAAATATCTAAACACACACACACACAGAGCCTGAGTGTCAGAGTAAATTTATCACATCTGCGTGTTTATCAGCCAATAAAAGCTGCAAATTGAAACCATGTGACCCTTGTTAACTGAAATGAACTGCCTTCAGACAAAACACACACACAAGCCCACCTAAGCCACCTTGTAACAGAAACACTGAATGCTTCTTATTAAATCATCAAATTACTGCTAATTTGATTAATACTTTGCTTTGAATTTCCATCCATCCATCGGGTCACATGGACAATCTAAGCACAGAACCTCAGACCCTCCTCTAGTTCTCAAGTCAAACCAACAGATGTTATTCCTCCTGTTTCTCCTGGGTATGCTCCATCGCTTCCTCCCAGATTGACATGCCTGGAACACCTGAAGTAGGAGGCATCCCGGAGGCATCCTGACCAGATGCTTAGACCACCTCCACTCTGAGCTCGTCTTGAATGACCACTCCCTTTCTCCAATTTAGAACCAAGACCCTCTTCAGAGGAAGCTCATTTACACTGCTTGTATCCCCAATCCCAGTGTTTCACTCCGCCCTTTTCCTGCTGAAAACCAGGGCCTCAGACTTGGAGGTGCGACTTCTCGTTCCCAAGTGTGAGCTAAAGGTCACCAACTGATAAAACCAGAATAACCACATTGTCCGCAAAAAGCAGAGGTGATGCTGAGGTCACCAAAAAGGTGTGCCAAGAAATCCTGAAAGTTATGAACAGAACTGGTGATAAAGGGCAGTCCTGGCAGAGTCACCCACGAGAAACAGGTCTGACTACTGCCGGCAATGCAAACCAAACTCTGACTGCAGCTGTTCAGCGACCGAATGGTCATTTTTACTGACAGCTGCTTTGAAACTGATGAGGCCTGAAGCCAAACTTTCATCTGAAAATCATCTTTAAAGCATTTTTCAGAATCACAACATGAAAATCACAGACATGCAGAGTCAGGGTTTATTCAGAAGAGGACACAAATGTATGTGGAGAACCAAAAAGAAAACCCCTTGAAAATACTACCAAAATAAGTCTCTGTTGATAATGAAATGTTAAATCAATAGACAGATGCAAGTAAGTAAAAAATAATAATTTGAAAACATTAAATACCAATAAAAACAACAAAAGGCAACCTTAAATAGGATAGTAGTCCATGCATAAAAACTAATGAAAGCAGTAAAAGTATTATGAAAAGATAATTTTTCTTACAGTAGTCCAGTAAAATTAATCAAACCTACAAACTGATATCCACTAACAAACTCAGAAGTAAGGTAAAAAGGATCCTAAAGATCAGGAATTCAACTGCTGAAAGGCTAAACAGGAATCTTTTCAGTTGGTTTTAAACTGTGATCGAGACAGTATGTTCTTTGGAGCATAAAAGGTGGAGGTGGAGATGGAGTCGAAGATAAGCTAGTTCATTGTTGACTAGTATGTCCCCAGTATGTAACATTAAAATCAGTTCTAGTGTAACAACCTCAGCACAGTCAGATTCTTTATCCATGTGACATTTTTAGGACAGTTTAGAGTTTTTCCAGACTTTCAGTTTTAGCTCCAACGATCAGGAGTTCCATCTTATCAGGATGTGACTGCAGAAAGGCATTAGCCATCCAGTTATCACATGTCATCGGCATACTTATCATAACAGTCATTCTGCTTCTGATAACAGCTGACCTTGTGGTAACTTGTTGAAGTTAACCGGTAAACAGTAATGGTGCTAAAATGGATCCCTGTGGAACACCATGTAAGACAAACTCATTCAAGATTAACCAGGAAGCACAGTAACACAGGGTGATGGACAGATGGACAAAGACAAAGAAATGGCTAGATATACAGCACACTGAGGGCTGCATGGGAAAAGTGACACAAGTGGGAACAACAAAGGAATGGCAGTTAATGCAGAAAGGAGGGAAAAGGCACAATAAGACACATGAAAAAACTTATGTCAAAGGTAACTAAATAACAACTGAAAGAGTCAGAAAAACATGGAAACAGGAACATGAAGAAGTACAACAAAACAAACAAATGTGACAGAGTATACTGCCATCTTCTGCTGGGAAATGCTGGGAATCTGCATGGCTTTTTGACACCCAGCAAAACTTATTACATAGTTCTTTGCATGCTGCTAATTAAGTGATCTGTAGTGAGAGTAGGGAGCAGGTGAAGGAGAGCTTAGAGAGGTAGAAGTATTCTCTGGAGAGAAGAGGAATGAAAGTCAGTAGAGGCAAAACAGAATGCATTTGTTTGAATGAGAGAGAGAGGTGTAACAGTGAAGGTGGATGAGTTTAAATACCTGGGGTCAACCACCCAAAGCCACGGACGGTGCGCAAGAGAGGTGAAGAAGAGAGCGCAGGCAGAGTGGAGTGGGCGAAGACGAGTGTCAGGGGTGGTTTGTGACAGCAGAAAGGGTAAAGGGAAGATTTACAAGACATTAGCAAGACCTGCTATGTTGCGCGGTTTGGAGACGACAGCACTGACAAAAAGATAAGAGACTGAGCTGAAGATGATCAGATTTTCACTGGGAGAATAGGCAAAATTAGAAATGAGTACATCAGAGGGACAGCTCAGCCTGGGATGGTGTGGACATGTGCGGAAGAGGGATAGTGGATGCATTGGAAAAAAAGGCTGATGAACACAAAAATGACGGGCAGGGGGGAAAGAGGAAGACCACAGGGAAGGTTCATGGATGTAGTGATGGAGGACATGCAAAAGGTTGGTGTGACACATGCCAAAGATCATGGAGGCAGATGATCAGCTGTGGCGACCCCCTAAAGAAAGCAGCTGAAAAAAAGAGGAAGAAGATGCTCATAATAAAAGCTTCATGCAGGACAGCTTCCTGATGGTTTACTTCCTGGTTCACGCTGAGGAAATTGATCATTGTTGTTGTTTTCAGCGCACAGGCTAATCAGAAAGTCAAATGTTTATTCTTTAAGACTTAACCTGATAATTTTACATCATTAGTTTATAATTTGTAAGGATCTAGATATTTTATGTACTGATACAGGGAGTTATCCATCTCCTTGTACTGGTTTTAAAATTGCACGCAATATTCAAATAGTTAAATTCTGTGTGAGGTTCTTTGAATGAATAGTTGAACTGAAAGACGTGTTGTTTATTTTGGTCGCGCCTGCTCAAATATCCACCTCCGCAGGCACCCATTTGAATAACTGAAAACAAACCAGAGCAGGTGTTTGCATAGTTTTCATACACTGATCCGAATGTATTTTTTTAACAGTTTTTTAGATTAAAAAATGTCTCAGGCATCTCTAATCCCTTTGCTCTCTTATTCCCCTGAAGGAAGCTTCCACCTGCA